CATTGGTAATGTCTGACTGGGCCTCGTGCCACTTTATGTTCAACAAACTGGGCCCCGAGGTCAAAAAGGTTCAGAACCCCTGGTTTAGAATACCAATTCAAACCTTTAAGACCTAACCAAATGGACACACTGCACAATAGAGAGGAGCTGGAATGTGTCCTACTTCACCCTTTAAAGCTGGCTGTTACAGAGCTATAATACAGCTGTTCTGTATCTGTGTGGTAGTATCAACAAAAGCCTGGGTTTGTCAGTAAACTAGAAAGTCTCCAATAAAGGTCTACTGAGAAGTGCATGTGATTATAGAAATTATCCTCAAAAATCAACTACAGCAAATTAAAAGACAGGAGCAGTGAAACTGAGCATAAATTTTCAATCTGTGAACTGACCTGCTGGGAAAGTATTTGTTGCTATTGAGAAGACAGGCAGCTCCGTCCAGCGTGTGCCTGGTGTAATCGATGGCAGGGCACTATGGAAGCAGCAACACACACACCCGTCAATGTCAGACACTTTTCCACACACCGTTAGAATAGATTTGGGGCTGAACTCACCTCTTTGGGTGTCTTGTGGGCAGCACATAAAAAGATCCACTGTTCTGTGGCCGTCATCTGAGTGCAGGTGTCAGGATGACACTCGCTCTACAGGTGAAACAACAAACACTTTAAATAGATCTTCAATATACTGTATTATGTCACTTTCTGGTTTGTTAATATTTTTTCACTTTTTTTATTTATTTATTTTTTGCATCTCCAAAAAAAGAAAATGAGTCACCTGCAGTTTTACAGCAAGTCCATTMAGCTCCAAACAGAACTGCCTGCAGAACAAATAAGACAAAAATCAGACCATCCCTTCCTTCTTCTCTAAACCTCAACTGGACCTCCTCAACGACCTCCTCCCTACGTTCCACCCYGACACTTTTGTACAGGAAAGCTGAGCACATCTGGGACAATACAAAAGGGCAACAACTTGGCTGAAAAATGGCAAAATAATGTCGTCCCATACAGAAAGAAAAAGCTGAACAAATTTAAAAATATATCTCAGAGAGACACRCACTCAAAATAATCTTACTGTAACCGAACAGCAACATGAATCATAGTTTTAACTTTTCATTTAAAGAACACGTTATTATTCATGTCTATTTTATACATTTAAATCCGCGAGGTTGTAGATTTTCACCTTTCAAACGTAGCCTGTGGTGGTATTATTTGCTTACTGGGTAAATTTATCTGGAGATAAAATTAGGTTTGTAAAAGTTTAAAATAAAAAAAAACTTGTCTGCAAATTCTTAGAGTCAACAAAGCTGGCAGTCTCTCATCGTCTCTATTAGATAGTTTTTAGTGAATGAAATAAACTGAAAATTTTTTTAAAAGTTTTTTTATATTACATAAATAAATTCAATAAACAAAAATTAAAAATCAGAAACAAATATAAATCCTTCTCCCAAATCCTTGTTTTCATTTTGAAACTGGCTTTTATTTTGAAGAGGACGGAGTATTTATGTTCACAGCGTTTGAAGTCGTTCTGACAAACAAGTCTGTCCACCAATGAGCAGGTTAGTGGCAGATTTAGGAGTCCCTGTCCTATTAGCCAAAGAAAAATACAAAGATTGATACAGAACGAAACATTTGTAACAAAACAGGCTTCCAAGAGTTTCAAAACAGTGAGCTTAGTTTCTGATAAACAGAGTACTGCATTTAATGATTTTAAATTAAAACCACCTGGATCAAACAAACAKGCAGAGATTCCTTAAGTTGGAAACATTACTCGCTCCGAACTGCCGACGTCGGCATGGGTTGTCAAAGTTTAATGACGAAAATTACGTCACCGGGCTTCAACGTCATGTCGACAGCCCCTTTTGGCACAAGCCCCCGGCAGAAATTTTGACCCCCTCCCGTGTCGACGGTAATGTGTGATTGGTATGAACTGAAAGTGCTCGGACGGACACAGCTGAAGAAAAAAAACTCGCTTCTGACTAGAGCAGACTGTTTTGAKCAGTTTTAAAGATAGACAAACAGAGAAAAACTCATGCGTTTGTGCTGACAGCGCTATGCGCTGCATTTACTTCAACCACTCGGTAAAAGAAAAAAGGAAAAAAAAAATCCAACTCGCTCCCCAAGCCGACCAGGAAGCAGAGTTTTATGAAAGATGGTCAAACCGTGAAAAACTCACGAATGGAGATAAACAGACATAACAGATAAACAGGCACGGAGGAATCTGAAACTGTGGAGCTTTTTTAACCAGGACAGATGTGGATAAAACACAACTCTGAACAGGAGGAACACAAAGACCAAAGATAAACGAATGGATCAAACTGTTGAGCAAGAACCTGGCAATAGAAAAACTGACTCATAAAGCTAAAGGGAAGCTTGAAGACTTTAAAGATGTTGGGTTATCCTTCATACATCTTGTTAAACTCAGTAACATGTAAACTAAATTTTCTTTTGTGCTGACAAAGTGAGCTCTGGGTTTTTGGGGTGGGGGAGGGATTGCAGGGTATGTTTGTTTTATTTTTAGTTTTTTTATATCTGAAAAACAGAAAAATTCTAATAAGAATATTTCTAAAAAAGAGAAAGAAATGAGTGCAGACAGAAATGAATTACTAATTTCTATTTTTGAATCAAAGGATGCAGAACATGTCATAATATCAATTGCACCTTTCAGAAACTGTGTGCATAAACAAAGCTGATGTTTAAGACCGGTCTGCAGGCACAAAACAAACAGGACAAAGACTACTTCACCTGAGGTGCTCATACTTCCACACTCCCTCATCCTGACCCTCTGGAGGCTCAAGGATCTTGTCAATGTTGGAGCAATCTGATCGAATATTCTGCTGAATATACTGAAAAAACAACACACAACACATTATTACACAGATACATCTACCTGCAGTGGCTACACAAAAATTACATATTCAACCACAATGTTGTTGCCGTGTTTTAAAGTTAAGTGGGTTTACAACGTTTTTTGTTTATGAGAAAAGACGCTGTAAAATAAGCAGCTGAGAGAGTACCATATCAAGCCTGATTTTGCTCATCTTTTTCTTCTCTACTACTTGAAAACAGAACAAAACTGTTATTTTGGTCTATTTTACATCATTGCTTCTCTCCTCTGAGGTCTGAGGACAGTTTTCCCCAAGCACGCTGCTGTTCATTATGGTCTCCTCTGACCCAACATTATTCTATAACTCTTGTGTTTTTCCACAAGCAAATTTTATTCCTGTTCAGTCTTGCTTGAATTAACTTATTTTGAAATACAAAATTTACCTCGCTACCTGACAAACACTACAGTGGGGAAAGTAAGTATTTAGTCAGTCACCAATTGTGCAAGTTCTCCCACTTAAAAAGATGAGAGA